GAGCCGGGGTTGGGGGTGCCCACCCCCGGACCCCCGGACCCCCGCCGGGGCCCCGAGGCCGGGGCTCGACAACCCTGCCTATGATGACCAATGTGTGTATGTTGTGTTTTTTATTATTTATTTTTTTTTGCTTTCTTTGTGATGTCAATTCAAATTTTGCAGGTTGTGAAATGTTTTGGCAATGGATGCGGAGGTCGGCTAAGGTGCCGGTGTGCAATAATTTTGATGCAGACGCAGAAAACACATACCACATTCACAAACGTTATGGATGGATAGTTGCAAACTTAACCAGCCGCACAAACTTGGTGATGAATGTCATGTCACATATCGTGTAACTTGTGCAAGTCGTTGCCTTTTCCAACAGGATCATGGAACCTGTCGTGGCATATACATTATCGTGTCACACGTCTGACTGCTAATCTTTGTCAATCGAGACCAGTGACAAAGACAGTCAGTTCCCAAAACGACATTCAAGACTCCATCGTTCTCTCTCTCACACACAGAAGAGGAAGGGCAACACTTACAGAATATAACAAAATATGTTGTGCAACTTATAATTCGAACGACCTCAACCAATGTAAAAAATGCTAATCAAAGCACTGTCCGCACCGTTCTGTTTGTCTTTGGAATGGACTGCATGCACAGAAAATGGACAGCGGTCCACGGGTATGCGACTGTGGCAGGCCTTTCATGTCCTTACGAACTTTGAATTCACATCGTGCGAGGGCATGCCCGGCTGTGGTGGACGAAAGAGCACAAGGGCAGGAGATGGACGTTGCTGACGCCTGCGGGTCATCAAACATAGGTGCAGTGAATCTCGTGAGCGATGAGAGCGAGGACATTGGAGCCCCCGAGAACGCAGACGGGGAGGGCAGGTCATTCGCAGAGCAGCAACCACCGCCTGCCGAGTCTTTTGACAGCTCTCGCAAGCTTGCGGCATTGATTTTCTATGCCAGGGTTGGCGTCGGTATGTCGCAGAGTGACATAGATGCTCTCTTGTCACTTCTCAAAGACCCGAGATTCAGCACGACAGATATTGCATACCGTAATAGTCGAGAGTGTTTGACATGGGCAGGCAGTCTAGCAGAGGCTGCGGGATGGAAGGAGTCAGATCTGCGTGGCGACGACTGGCCACGAGATGCGCATGCCATCTTGTGACACCGCGATTGGCGAGCCACATTTCTGTCGATTTTTAATATCGCATTACAGAAATTTCGAGACGGTGTCTTCTCTAGAGGTGTCCCCGCGGTCAGAGGACCTCAGTATGTTTAGCCCGCGCAGCGGGGCACTAAGTTATCACATCCAGTCGATCATTCGAGCAGACAGAGGTATGGACGGGAATGAAAATCCACGTTATGTTATCCCTCTGTCGCTCTATTCTGACAAGACATACACGGACGGTCGTCAAAAACAAACGGCGTACCCTCTGATGATGTCCCTATCCGACCACGCATCCGAAGCCATACTGCTGGCCTATCTTCCTATGCTTCATCATCGTCCACGTGACAAAGGATGGGGTCAATAGTCCACCGCATTCAGAAAGTGAAAGGCCGTCATTTTGCACAAGGCCCTTACAGTGGTGTTGCAGTCTGCGAAGGAGGCATCTCATGACGGAATAATGATACCGACAACGAGATTCAGGGACATAACTGTCCACCCTTTCCTCCTCAACTATATACAGGACTACCCAGAACGATGTGCGCTTGCGACTGTGAAGTTTGGCGTATGCCCGACATGCACCGTGTCCAAAACTGACTTTGATATGCTGTTGGAGTTGCCCGATTGGGCTTTGACATTGACTTACGATCCTGCGGTATCATTCTCAAATGGATGGTTACTCGGTTCCATTGTGCTATCTGCTCATGCTTTGAATGCTCGTACTTCAGTGTGATTTTGCGGTTTGGAATTCTGAGCTTCGTCCGCAGTCATGTTCTTTGCATATTCATTATTATTATTATTATTATTATTATTATTATTATTACAATCAGACTCGACTTATTCACACGTGAACAGCAGTAGACAAACTGGCGACATGCGCCCACACAGTACTCAGAGATGTCGCAACCAGATAAGAGTTCTCTTTCAATTGGCTATGGTGGCTGTGCGCCCAAACAACTCACTGTTCACACTCTGGATCACCCTGGATGTCCCACGCACATCACTCTGAACACTCACACAGTACACACACACTGCACCATATACTAAGCTATGGCAGCTATGGTTGCCGCTACCTATACTCCCTGTCGCTCTACGAGTGACACGGCGATGCCATCACAACACGAACATCGCAAACGTGGACGATCACCTTCCCAAAGTCGTCGAACCCGAAGGTCTTTATTACAGGTCGTAGGTGTCGTAGGTGCCGTAGGTGAGACGACTGCTCGCAAGGGAGATAAACAACCGGTGGTAAGTCAAAATTATAGTATTGACTGTTCTGATGAAGAACAACGTAGCAATAGGTCTCTATCTTTTCGACAATCAATCCCGTCCATGAATGATTTCACGAGCCCCGTGTTTTTCAACAGAATGAGTCAACGTGATAATAATATTAGTACGAATCGCATTGGTTGTCCTGTAAATCTCTCTATGACCTTGCAAAGTGAATGTCCACTTGGAATTCGTACGAATGTTGCAATAAATGCAGATTCCGTTTCGATTGCTGAAAGATCAATTTTATTGGATACTTTTCCCTCGCACTCTGCACATGTTCATAATTGTTCATCGTCCACATTTACTGTCGCTGTCCCGCAAGCATTTGTGGAGAGTAATGTTTGTCCTCCTTTGAGGGATGTTCATGCAAATGCACCTTCTGTTGCTACGACCCCGCCGAATTCGCCGAACACGTTCATTAGAAAGTTTCTTGGATTTCATAATCGACGAAGAAGATTATTATTGCGGAAAGCGATTCGTTCGAGGCGCAACCGACGGTAGCGTATGTTATTGATTTGACGGCTCCGTGCGAATAAGGTCGTGCGTCGTTTGGAACTTGGATCATTGTCGTTGATGCGTCATCATGTGTCGTCAGGCTATGATGCAAGTGCAATAGTTGGTGAAAGTACGGTAGAGGTTGGTGAAGGAATACAACAAGTCGATGGATTGAACGTGAATGAACCGTGTTCTACGTCGCGTTTAATTTCAAAACGAAGGAAAAGTCAGGGTAGACAACCGAACTTTCATGTTAAACGTATGCGTGCATTGAGAGTTGCGCTTAAGAATCATAGGAGGAAAGAAGATGTGCGTGCTCATACAACTTTTGTACGGGGTGTGCGGCGAAGTTTGCTTGCTGTGAATATCATTCGAGAAATTCGAGCGAACACCTCTGCGCATTCGAGGAGAGCATCTTCTCCTACGAGAGAATCGCGGAGTTGTTCTTCCCGGGCAAGGCAGTCGCGAAGTCTATCATCTCGAGCGAGGCAATCACAGAATCCGTCCATAAGAAATCGAAATTCAGTGAACAATTGCGAAGATAATGAGCCGGATAGTCACGAAGAAGAAATGAACAATTCGTGTGATATTCAGGGTCCTCATCTTAATGCACTCCCATCAGCACCTGTGGCGACAATATATGCTGCGGTTGAGAGCACGGTAGCAATTCTTGGGAATGCTAACACTGTTCAGATGTTCGACCCTGGCAGTCAAGATTCGTGTACCTATTGTGGTGCTAAATTGTGGCGTCATGAAAAAAAATGGACAAAGATCTGTTGCAGAAAAGGTGCGAAACATTGTCCTTTATGGGAATGACCTTGCGAAGGCTCCCTAGAGCATGAGATTCTTTCCCTTTGGACGTCTCAATCTTCGGACGGTCGATTCCTTCGAAACAATGCGAGGGTAATTAATAATAGTTTGGCCCTCGCATCGTCGCGACTGAAGCAACCGAGCGATGGTGTTCAAGGATTCCAAGGCCAACTTCGGGCTCAAGGTCCAATCTTTCATCGGGTCAGTGCATTGGCTGTAGGGGAAGGGGAACGTCTCAGTTTGCACAGTTGTACTTTCACAATCCTCAACGTTTAGACGATGCGATTGATCAAAGGGTAGACTTCCTTAACTTACCTGCAGGTACATCGGATGCCGAACTTGATCGAACGAAACGCATCTTAAGAAGGTTTCACGAATTGCTACAACGATGTAACAATTACGTGAAGGACTTTATGACAGTTGCTAACCTTCCGCCTGAAGCATTGAACGGGAAGAAGTTGGTCATAAATCCGGATACCGTGCCGGATGGGGAACATCCAAGGCGTTATAACCGTCCTATGGGTTTGCATGAGGTGTGTGTTCTGATGGCTGATGAACTTCTTCCTCGTGAGCTCGAGATTCGGTTGCGTGCTCCTATTCCGGATGAGCGGCAGACGGTTGTGGTTCCGGAATGTTCTCGAGCGCACGACTGCTTAAGGTTTATTTTACTTTTCCCGGAGGGAATTGATAGTTGGTCTGTTTGACGTGCCTCGAAAGCTGGATGGTCGTCAGGACTTAGTGCAAAGGAGTACTATGCTTTTCACCTTCACGAGCGCGATGGTGAAAGACCTTGCCTCCTTTATGCAGCACGTCTCTTCCACGACTTTTGTTGCATGGCATACGGTAAAGTTGAATCCCTCCGCTTAAAATGGGCGAGATTCCACCAGAAAGAATTGCGCTCGGAGTATTATCAGGATTTAAGAGACGCCGTGCAACAAAATCGACGTGGTGATAGTGTTGGGATAAAAGTGGTTTTGCCGTCAACATTCACTGGGGAACCCCGATATATTAGTGAAAGATATCACGACAGCATGGCGATTGTGAGGCGATTCGGAAAACCGGATCTTTTTATCACTATGACGTGCAACACTAACTGGCCGGAGATTAAACAAGCTCTGTTGCCAGGTCAATGTTCTAATTACAGGCCGGATCTTCTAGCGCGAGTGTTCAAAGGTTATCTTGTACAATTGGTTGATGAGATAAAGAATAAACGGATCTTTCGTAGCGTGAGTGCAATGTTATATGTGATGGAGTTTCAAAAAAAAGGTTTACCACACGCACATATATTGGTTGTCCTGCATCTGAATGATAAAATTCGGGATGCTGATGCTGTTGACAATGTGGTGTGTGCGGAGATTCTTCCGGAAGGGGAATTGAGAGAAAGGGTGGCGAAGTTCATGTTGCACGGGATTTGCGGAGCGGAGAAACGCGACGCTTCGCGTATGGAGGATGGAGAATGCACAAAAGGGTTTCTGAAAGACTTCATTTCAACAACAACATTCAAAGAAGAACAAACGTACCCTTTGTATAGGAGAAGGAAACCAAGTGACGGTGGTTTTACGATTGTTCAAAATGGAATCGTTTACGACAATCGGTGTGTAGTTCCTTATAACCCGTACTTGCTAATGAGGTTTAATTGCCACATAAATGTTCAATATTGTGCTAATGTGAAGGCCTGCAAGTACGTGTATAAGTACATGTACAAAGGGTGTGATTGTGTTGTGGTTTGTGAGCAAGATAATAATGCACCGATCGACGAGGTCAAATTGTACCAAGATATGTGTGTTGTAGGTGCATGCGAAGCATGCTGGCGTCTGTTTACGTTCGACGTTGCGGAACAATGACCTGCGGTCGAAAGATTGCCCGTGCATCTTGAAAACATGCAAAAAGTGCAATTCGAACCTGACACAGAGGATGACGTTGTTTCGCAAGGGCCTCCGAAAACGAAATTGACGGCATGGATGAAACACAACTTTTTGAATGAGCATGTTCCTAAAGACGAACTTCCTCTATACGCAAAGATCATTAATACTCATGTGTGGGATAACAAAAATAAGAAGTGGAACCGAAAAAAGCGTGATCTTCACGGTGGTCCCTTCGAAAATATATATCGGTTGCATCATGTGAGGATCGTGGAAGGCGAACGATTTTATCTGCGCATGTTGTTGAACCATGAACATTCTCGTGGGGTACGCTCTTTTGCTGAAATTCGTACAGTGGACGGAGTGGAATACGATTCTTTCCGATCCGTGTGTCTTCGATTGAGCCTTTTGCAAACGGATGATGCATACGATCAATGCATAGACACAGCCGCTGCACATTACATGCCTGAAGAAGTTCGTAAAATATTCGCTATGCTTCTCGCGTTTGGTCCAGTGAACGATCCGGTTCGTTTCTTCGAACGACATTGGGATAAGATGTCTGACGATTTTCAGTATCGCCACGGCTGTGAAATCGTTCAACCGAACATTTTGCAATCGTCGGTGTTATTCCATCTTGATCGGATTTTGCAAGAGTCTGGAAAAAGCATCTGTCACTTTTGCCTTCATTATCCGATGCTGGATGGGGAAACAATTGCTGAGAACATAACCAGACATTACAAGAGAAGAACGGTGTGGTCGATT